AATGGTAAATATAATTTTTTAAGTATACTTTTTTTTAAAGAATTCCTGATAATGTTTGAATTTGCTGAGGTGCACAAAAAATCAAATCACATTAAGTCACTAAGTAGTGGGATTTAAGTATGGCTCCACGTCTCTATTTGACTTCACCGCTCAACTAATCCGCTCTTTTTGGCGCATTACCTCATCTGTATTAATATATTCATGTGCTTTCAAGTCCTACTACTACTACTACTGTACTCACTCCTCTCGTTTCTGATTGGCTGCTGCAATGTTTTCAATGGCACCAAATTTTTTTTTGACTCCATGGATACAGCGAGCTGTTGGGTAGATCCACTCAGCCAATAGGAGAGCTGCGCGGGCTCTTGCTTGTCAGATTCTGCCCCTGGCCTTAGAAGCAGCCCTCCCTCCCTTGCTGGGAGCACGCGATGGCTCGGTGGGGGGTTCAAAACAACAACAAGGCTGTCATCTGGCTTTCCGTGGGGGCCTTAGACATGCCAGCACTACTGGGTACTACTACAGCCACTGAGGGAGGGGGGGGGCAATTCCCTAATCTCTCTCTGATACATGCAGCCAGCCCCTCACTTCTCTCTTACTACGCTATCACTAAGCAACCAGTTACTAACACATCATGTTTTGAAAGGATCTTAAAAGGGAGTGTTGTCATCATCAAAATGAGATGCAAAGTTTATGACTTCTAAAAAATAATTCTCAGAAGGGAAGTTGTAGAGAAGGAGCAGTCAAATGCACAATATTTGAACATTCTCTGGACTTTAAACCACACAAACCCCCGTCCTTGAAATGACCTCATTTCGTCAACATGAGGGAGCAGCGCGGGACTGCGAGGCTGCCAGCGCCTACTACGAAGTGCTCGGGTCCTGGCAGCGCCGGCAGGCAGCTGGTCGGCCCGCCCCGGTCTGAGAGCGGCTGAGAGGTGGCAGCAGAGGACCATGGGGCAGTGCCCACATCTTCCAGCAGGGTTAGGTCGGAGACAGCGCTCACCCCTTCTCAGGCTGCATCAGGTGCGCTGGCACAGTCAGACATTCAGGTCACATTAGTGAAGGGTACGAAGACGAGGCAGGACAAGGCATGTGGGTCTCTGCAGGTGGTCACTGGCTCGGCTGAGTGACACACAGTTGTGATGGCGGCCTTCGAAGTAGAAAGAAGCTTTCATGGAGTAATAATAACTTTATTTATATAGCACTTTTCCAAAAAACGTCACAAAGTGCTTGACATGGATTAAGAACAGGCTGTTAAGGCACCCACCCAGTAAAACATAGAGCATTTCATAAATAGCAGCAGTAATGCAAGAAAAAGAAAACAAATAGTGCGTGGATGTCGAGTAAAACAGAGTGGTGTCATCATTAGTTAGAGTAAATGAGAAACTAAAGTTAAATGCTCATCTAATATTTCAATTTCAACATTTTAGTACCAGAATAGGAGTTAGAAATATTCCTGAATCTAACTGCTATTATTGTTATTAATCAATCTAAAGATACACTATTCAATTTATTAATTAGCCAATTTCCCTCTTTAAATATCTTGTTCAATACGAAATAATTTCCCACACCCAATGATATTCTCTTTAGAGCTAAGAAAACTATGAAATATTAACATGCAAATGACTGTAGCATTGCAGTACCAGTGAAGTTTGGGCCTTTTCTGTTAAAAAATGACTTGGAGATGAATCCATCCTCAGAATAGTTGAAGATGAATCTTTTGTCCTTAAATTCATGTTTTATCTCGGTTCAGAAATCCATTTAGGTTTCATTCAGAGTCCCCGTGAGACAGAGCGAACTTGAGGAGGCATTAACATGTCACAGATGTTGCCTGCTCCTCTAACATCTATTAATAAACGTGTCGATGCAGTACCTGGTTACATGGAAGAGGACTTGACAAAATCATTGTGTACTCAGACTCAACAGTGTAGAAAATGTCCATGTGTAACTAATACTGTCTGTTAGAGTAAGGACATGACCCATTGCTACGTTTTTATCAAGACATGTCACCCTCCACCTCACCCCCTGATGGTGCATCTCATGCATTTTAAAAGCCCTCCATCTAACCCTGCTGAGTGCGTACTTTGCTCTGCCGCAGCACCTCCCTGTCTCACAGCATTACCTGTGTCGGCATGACTTACCCTGTCACCACCGAGCCCCTTACTCAAGTCACTCTTCACCTGTCACTCATCTCGAATGACATCTGCCTGCCAAAGTTTAACCCCGTCATTATTCTGCATGGACCCTCCTTCCGCCCCCTCTCAGTGTACAGCCTGTCCGTCACCAAGGCTTAAACCCATCTCCCCTGACGGAGCCCGGCGAGGTTTCTCTCTCCGAACTGCTACAGGCCCCACCCGTCATACGTCTGTTGACTTTAGGGTCTGAGAATGATCGGTTCAGTAAGGCTGTCACCCCCACCACCGCCGCCGAGGTGTATTTTGAATTAGAGGCATGAAAGGTATCGATGTGATGTTGAAGTCACAGCATTTCTGCTAAATCTCACACACACAGGCAATGAGTCAGTATTTATTTTAGCTTTATGATTAATAATTGAATGCAGTTGTACTCATTTAAACGTTGAGTTAAATGTTTTCTGACCTGACGCATAGAACAGTGCTCTTGCAGTAAACACTAAATCACTGAGCCACATATGCTGAATGCGCTTGTGTTACTAAGGCGTGTTAAATATTGATGTCATGTGTCTGCTCCTATGACCACACACTGCATCGCATTGCACGACTTCTGATTCTAAAGGTTTTAAGTGGTACTCATATACAAGCTTCATAAACAGGTCCTCTTACGTTCCCGCATGACAACTTGCTTTATATAAGTTTGTTGTAATGTCCCGCAAACAAATACTTCCCTGTCTGAGTGAATGTGATTTCCCTACTTGTAAAGAGGGATTACTTTGCATACAACTGCCTGTAAATGCTCATGATAGCTGGGAAAATGTGGCAAGAATGTGGACTAAATTTATTTTTGGGTTTGACATCTGGTTTGGCAACACCCTGGCACAGGAAGCACACACGGGAGGGGGGGAGGGAGCGCTGGTGAGCAGTGGGCTCATCTGGGGGCACCAGCGCAGCGATGCAGAGCAGGAGTCAGGGATACAGGACTGTTTCACCACCTGCTCTCCCCCCCCCTCCCCCCTCCCCACATTCCTCAGATACCAATGCTCTCCTTTCTCCCTCCACAGGTAACATGGGGAACCTACTGAAAGTTTTGACGTGCACAGATCTGGAGCAGGAGCCCAATTTCTTCCTCGATTTTGAAAGTGAGTGTCTTTTCCCAAGCAATGGCTCCCCCCATGCTGATATCGATCACATGAATATCTTACCATAGCATTATCAACTCTGATACTCTTCAGTCTTCTCCCCCCCCCCACCCCCCCCCCCCACTTATCTCCCCACTTATCTTCAACACTGTGTTCTTCCCAGCGGCAAATCTAGAGCTTCTGCACTTTCCCATCAACCTGCCTCCTCCATGCTGGATTGTGCTCAGAATATCAATCAGGGCAGAGTAGCAGCAGAGCCCCTTCCTCAAATGTGAAGCAGTGAAGTTCAGCTGCTGCGTAGCCTAAGGCCCCTCAGCGTGGCTTGATCCTGAGCTGTAGTATTCTCACACTTGGCAAACCCAGAGACTCAGTCATACCTTCAGAGAAAACAATGCCTCCTCCAGCTCACACTGTTACTAGGAGATTTCATAGAAAAGTACCATTACAATTATCGTCCATTTAATCAACCAAATGATCATTAATTTATTTGTATTTCAGACAGCGTTACGCCCTGATATCAGAGGCAAGGTTCAAACCAAACATATCAATTATAGATTTTAAATGAATAAGTAATGATGAACTACAATGCAGAAAAAAAAATACCATATGAAGTAGAGAGACTATACTGTAGCTGTCGATGTGAGCTGTGTTTCAGGTTATTTTTGATTCTGCAGAGGAGCAGGAGTTTACAGACATCACACTTGGCAAGGTGTTCTTGCTTCAGGTGGTGGAAAAGGTTCATAGTGTTCTTTTTTGCCACTTCTCTCAGAACAAGATTTAAAAAAACTCTGCAGCTGAACCACCTCTTCACCCAGAGTAGTTTGGAAAAGACTGTTCATATAACCCTTTTTTTTTTTTTCATTGTCTTCTCTTATCTTTCTCCATTTTCCTCCTCTTAGCCAGAAAAGTAGGTGGTGATAAAACTGAGCACTGGAAAGAAGAGATTATTTCAGTGAACTGCCATTTGCATATAGAAAGTATTAGACTTTCTAACATATCAGAACATTTGAGATGTTTTCTAGAGCTGCCTAGTATGAATCTGGGTCAATACTAACCCTCTCGCCTTTGTTGTTGTTTTTCTTTGCAGATGCACAGCCCACAGATGCAGAGCGAGAGGTGTGGGAGCAGGTGGACGTGGTGCTGAAGGACGCCAAGGGGATCCTGGACGAGCTGCAGGCCTACAAAGGGGCGGGGCAGGAGATCAGAGAGGTGATACAAATGTCCAAAACGCATGGAACAGATGCTGCATTAGTTCATCGGAGCAGTTTAAGGGCCTTTTTATTTAGAGCTCAAGGGGAGTGTAGCTGTTTCCAGGTTTCTGTTCAATATTTTGCAGCATGTGCCGTTGGTTAAGATGTGTGCTTTTGTCCACGTCGCCCTCTAAGTTAGAAACTTTGAATTCCACAATGTTAAAATTGTCATTGGCTCCACTAAGAAAATAATAAGAAACAGCGAAAACATTGAGAGGTCTTTGGAGTTTAGTCATATACAATCAAATACAGTTTAGTAGGCTTAATGTTACAATGTACAAGTTCTGCCAACAGAAGTAGAACATGCAAATTCAAAAAGGTGGGCTGAGGTGGTTGCTGTCTTTACTGTTTTTATAAAAATGTGTAAACAAACATATTGCAACATGCTGACGTCTTGCCTCAGTCTGTTTGTAAACCTTAGCCTATTAATGAAATCATGTGCAAGAGACATTTTATATTACAAAAGTATTTGCATCCAACAGACCTGGAGTGACAACAACAGTGATGTTGTGACTACAGGTGCATTTGAATTCCTTCTGTAGCCTCATGAATCTGCAGATTATGAACCTTCATGTCAAGCAGCATTTGTATCCATCTCCCCTTTTCTCAGAGACTGACCTTTTCCCTTTTTAACGGAATTTCCGATAACGTCATAAGACTTATGATGGAGACTCAGTTTGACAAAAATCAATAAGGCAGAACCTGCAGCAAGAAAACTGCTGTCAACATCTCTGGAAATGCAACTCTACCACTGACAGTTTGGTCAGATATTCAGGTGTGTTGTGCTAATGGCTACTATAGCCCTGAGCTGCTTCCCTCAAAAGGTTAGAAGTGGGCTACACAGGTCTGGAAAAACTCAGTCTCTCTTACTCTCTAATTCATTTTCAGACCAATAGTCTTAAGATCCACCTGACGTTGACTGAATCACTTGAGGAAATTGTGCATATAGTGCTACTCATTAATACATTTGAAGAGATCAGCATCCCTACACCAGTAATGGGGCCTTGTTTTGTCCAACAGTTCAGATTTAGACTAACAGTCCTCTTGATGTTTGTATTTCCAGGCGATCCAGAATCCAAACGATGAGAGGTTACAGGAGCAGGCGTGGGCGGCTGTGGTTCCTCTGGTGGGCCGACTGAAGAAGTTCTATGAGTTCTCCCAGAGATTAGGTTCGTACCTTACTGTTCTGTGTCTACAGGAGCATTTAGTAAGTGGGCCAGGAAATCAGTGGTTCTCAAACTTGAGAAGCTCAGGTGTCCTGTGAGATTTCATTTCAACGTCACACCTGCACTGCAGAATCCCTAAGTGCAATCATTTAAGCGGTCCACAGTTTTAGCGCCATCTATCATTTTAAGCACCAGGTGTGATGCCATTAAGGACGAAAGCAGACGTCCTTTATCCTGCGCCGCCACATCCACAGAGCCTCCATACATGACCCTAATTGTCTGCATGTGCATCTGCAATATTGACTGCTGAGCTGCAAAAGTCCAGACATGTGACACACACGCATAACGTCCTCCCCAGCCTTATGTAAACATGCTTTTAAAAACCCCCACGGTTGGTGTTTCTCAACATGCTGCTTGCGCTGCACTGTGCACTGACCTCTGTGTGGGATGGGGCTATAGGTTGTTTAATTGGCATGTATACAAAGGGGGAGGGGGGAGTAGGCTTACTGCTCCCTGATCTTCTTCTGACCCTGAGGCTGAAGGCGACAGGGGGGGGGGGGGGCTGGAGCCGCCATGCCTCGACGCCTCAACCCCGTAATCTCCATGTGGCGGTGGGGAAGGTAGTCAATGGGGGGGGGGGCAGCAGACGCCTGGCCCTCGGAGGCTGTTATGTAACGAAGTAGGCCACCTCCCCGCCTCGCCGCTGCTCCATTTCTCTGCCTCGGCTCCAGGGGCCGTGGTGGCCCCCGCAGACGGCTGTCCTGCCTGATCTGCGTAAAGCTGAAAGTCTTTTACTACAGGCTGGTGGATCCGCAGAGAGCCACTACCAAGGAGCAAAGATATTATGGAGGGAATATTATGCAATTATCTTGTGTTTGACATATTTCTCCTGCCCCAAATACTAGTTATTGCCTCGAGGCGCAAGTTGTGACTCAAATGTAACATTGTATACAGAATAATATACATTTTCTTCTATTCAACTACATTTCAACTAAATCCAAGCTTGTATTCTAATTGCTTGTTTAGTGATTCAAAGTTGAGAACAACCTTCAGTATCGTTTTACACAAACTGTTAAGGATGGAATAGCTACAAAATCATCACATTTGAAAAGCTGATACATTCTTTTCCTGATAAATAACTTTGGCCTTAGCACATGGAGGGAAAGATTAGCACGCTCCAACTACTGGTTCTTAGATTGACATCGATCTTTGACATGCATTTATAATTGCTGACAGAAAAACATGTAGGCCTACCTAGGATTTAAAGGTATATTTTTGCATATTTTGTCTGAATGCTACTACTTCTTGCAGGCATTGACACCTAAGTCTGTCTCTAAAGTTAACATTGCTTGCATAAAATCTTTCATTTTCCAGCTACAGATCTGCCTAGAAGCCATGGTGATATTTTCTTTACTTACTTTGACAAAAGAAACCCCACAATAACATTTTAGCCTGATGAGTGAAACCACACCAGTTACTTAAGGGACAGTTTTCTCCTGCTCTACTGACTACTTCTGGCATTCACGGCAATTCAATAACAAAACTAAAGCTACTAGTTTTCTAGTTAAAGACCTGCTACTAATTATCAAGACTATAGGTTTGTTATGGTCACACTGTAGACCAGACTAAACTCCCGCCATTCCCTGACCCGCCCCTCTCTACATGCCCTGCCGTGACCTAATGAGATCAGACAGCCCCGACTTCCCGGCATTCTAGAGTGTCTCATTTCTGAGGGCCTGAAAGCAGCTCCGACTGAACTTCTGTTTTGACTGGGACCTAGAGGGCGGGGTTAAAAAAAAAAAGCACCACTAAGGCCATTTTTAATCAGCCTCATTGCTGCGAACGCTGGCCCAAACAGATGGGAGTCATTACGGCACGGCAAACACGCTCAATTTACTGCCCTGCCAGCGCTGTCCGTCTCCTGGAAGTCCCCACTCGATTATCCTAAGTACACCGCCGTCTGAATCGGCCCTTTTCTAGGTTATGTTGACATGCTCATCGTCATATGTAATCAAGAAGAATTATAAAGTATATTTCCAGTAAAAGTATCCAAAGCGCTCATTTGGTAGCCTCATCCCTTCAGATGTCGAGCTCCTCTGGGTTATGTCATTATTGAAGCCTCTGTTCAGCGTCTAGACTGGATTCTGCATCTATAAATAAAAATTCCCTCTGGGCTTTAAAGATTTTTTTTCAATTTGTTTCAAACTGTGCGGTTGAGCATGACATATTTGTTTGATAATACTCCTTGTTTGGAAGTTCTTCACTTCATTTCACCTAATCTTTTCCTCGTTTCCCTGTCGGCGCATGCTTAATGATGGCTCTGTTTTCTGGGGGTATGGTATGTCCAGGCATGGCACAGGCTTTGTATTTACTTACTGTCAAAACAATGAGTGTAATCCTGCTTGAATGAAACCCCGTGCCCCCCACCCCCCCACATTTCATGCCGATGAGATAATTAGTCCCATGTCTCATCTGCATCTGAGCAGGAAAGCCTCTCGGCCCGCCCCCTTTACCCACACTCTGCCCCACCCCCCCTCCCCCAGGATGGCACTGGGCCCTGGGCAGTTTGGGCACCATGACTGCTTCCCCCCCTACATTATCTGTCGGAGTCCTAATCAGGAGGCTTCAGCCGGCTGACACTGTTCACATATCTCACCGCGTTATCGGTTCTGTTAGTTATTGTTCTCTGGCCTCATCCATCACACATGCAGGAGCAGTATTCTCTGTTGCTCTTCCTGAATTGTCCATAAATACAACTTTCCATATCCAGATGTAGGGGTCTTAGTAAGCAAGAGGGTCCACATTTGGCATATAATTCGTTTTGGCCTGTATGAATAAACCCAACTGTACATATGAATATACAGGAGACCTTGATTAACAGCAGCTTTAGTCTTTATGATGGGATGCGTTTTCTGGCTTGTTAAGATCAAGTGCAACACATTAAATACCAAATTGATTTGACCGCATTGGGGAAGCAACTAATGATCAATAATATTGTTGTTTTATTCTTAAAATGTACCTTTGTCATTTAATCAAGAAAATAGAAAGATATGGTACAAAATCTGAAATTTGAAGCTATACATTTTAAATGAATATAAAAAAGAGGAAGGTAGCAAAATCTTCACACTTGAGAGGCTGGAACCATCAGATATTTGACATGATAAATGAAATCATTTTGTTTTGCAAGTTCATTTTCTTTATATGATTATCAACTAAAACGTATTTTTAATTTGGACTGTTGTTACGACAAAACACTACTGTACATTTGGATAAGGTTTTTTCACATTCATAGACAATCAATGAATGAGAAAATAATGCATGATGAAAAGAAGTGATACGTTGCAGCCCTGTAATGTTATTCAATTGATTTAGTGACCAACTGTACAGCAGGTTATATCTGAACACGCATCACAAAATCTCATGCTATATGCAGTACTCCTCTTCCTTATGACCTTTTTAACATGTAGAGCTGTAAACTTGGTGCTTGGATCACCAAAAAAGACGGAAAGTGGATATGATTCAGCAGCTATAGTGTCCCGAAAGACTTTAACAGCCACTGTCTCTCGGTTAAACATTCACGAAGTGTCCTCACAGAATGAATCAAAGCTCATCATATGCATTTTCCACAGGAAGGCTGATGTTTTTGTTGCCGCCCCCTGACAGCACTGAAACCTCTAACACCGACATTTTTTACACAGAGGCGGCGCTGCACAGTCTTCTGGGAGCTCTGACCAGCGAGACTTACGACGACCCCACTCAGCACCTGGAGCGGGAGCAGGCGCTGGCCAAGCAGTTCGCCGAGATCCTGCACTTCACACTGCGCTTTGACGAGCTTAAAGTACGACCTTTCTCCCACAGATCCCATGTATCAGTTTCTCAATTTGTACACCTCCAACTCACCTTTTAAGATGTTCATTTTAAACTCTGCACTTTAGTCCTCTGATACAAACCAGAGCTCTTCGCTGCCCTACACAAATTGATTTTTAGCCCTGCATTTTTAAACGGCAGCCAGTGACTGCGTGATTAGCATTTAATTAGATTCCTGATACTGCTTGGCTGTTTATAATACAGTGGATGTCAGTGAAATGGCTAATGAGGGCTGTAGCGGGAAAGAAAAGGTCTGCTAATTGTCGTTATCCTGACTTCAGACCTGCATATAGTAGCAGGTTTTAGGAAATGATGGAGGATGAAACTCCAAGAAGTTGAATTAAGAGAATGTTCAAACATTTAAGAGCTGAATCAAGATTTGGCCTTTCATTTAATTGTTTTATTCCGACTTCTGTTGGTATTAAGGTTTTTCTTTTCAATGACAAAGTTGTTTTGCTATGTTGATGAACTGGTAGTGATAGGAGGTATTGTTCTTATTTTTGTTAACTGTTTCTTCGAGTAATTTATGTTACATTTCATGCACTTTATAAATGAAGTTTGATTGATTCATTGAAGGCATAAATGGCAACCCAGAAAACACCAGAAATGGAGCGCTGGTATTGGCCGATGCAGTTTTCAAAAACATAATTTTGTGAGCACTTATCTGGTTAGACAGTGGGTGAACTGGTTCCCATTCACCCCTCGCCTTCCTTTAAAAAAACGTAACACGCCCCGTCACCCCCAGGCGATTTTCAGCGACGTCCCAATTAGTGCCCACTACCCAGACTGGCAAGATAAAAAAACATGAAGGTAGGGGGTGCAAGGTGGCATGCCAGGCCTATTCATCAATCTTTCACACCCATACACGGGCTTCTGACCTAGTTAAAGTGTCTGTGCGGCAGGCAGCCCCCCCCTCAGCAGCCTGTCTCTCCTGGTGCACACAGTGGACACAGACTGAGTACCAGCCTATTGTAGCGGGATTAGCATGCTGCCAGTGAAGCTCTGACTGTGACAGGCTCATACAGGAATGAGGATAATTACCACATGATGAGCTCTCACTGGTGCTGACGTTTGAAAGGCGCTTTCTGGTTGGCTTCCGTTTGAGGGGGTCACTTTTTTAGCTTCCCGGTAAAACCAGACGATTCATATTTTTGGCCTTTATCTTGGTCTGTACGTTTGAATTATATCAGAGTAAGCTTTGTCCATTCTCCCCTTAATGAGACCCTTTATACCTTTTTTGTCAGCTCTATAATTGTTGACCCGACTGTTAAATAACCAAATAGTTCCTGACAGGATGAGCGGGGATGAGTGTCAGAGGATACAAATCCAGTTCAGCAAATAAAACTGTAATTGTATCCATGTTCTTTTCATGTCATTCCCCCCCAAAGCTAAGTTTCTGCCTTGTTGGCTAAAACATTGTGTCGTGATGATGGTGTGTTTGATCCAGAAGTGAATTTCCAGCTGCAGGCGGTGCCACCTACAGACAAACTCTCCCCCCTTAGTCTCTTTATCTCCCTATTAAGATGCTTTTCTGTTGTTTTCCTTTATCAGATGACAAATCCTGCCATTCAGAATGACTTCAGCTACTATAGGAGAACTCTGAGTCGAATGCGAATCAACAACGTACCGGTGAGCACACTCTGTCCCTCTCTAATCAATGTTTAGGTTACACTGGGTCACTACTTGTGATGCATTGGATGAAAGGAGCACAAAGAGAAAGCATATTTTCCTGACTCCCCTTCTGACCCTTTTATATCTTTTCATTTCATTAATGTGCAGAATGTTTGTAAAAGAAACTCAAATAAAATATTAAATAGTGGCACCATTGGCATAAGCTATCAGAGGGTTATTTAAATAGAAAAATGTGTTTCTATTCCTATAAAAGTTGCCATGGAGCTGGCCCTGATCGAATGCAAAAATGTGCGTCATCATGATTACTCTATTCTCCGACCTGATTCAAAGCCATCAGTTCCCATTATAATCTCCGCTCAGTAAGGCAGGAGTGATGGATGAAGTTTGCAAACTGTTAGAGCCCCCATGAGTCGGAGGGGAGTGCGGCAGGAAGCGTCGCGCTACATGAACCTGAGCCCCACGGGGAGTGTCAGCCAGTTTGAAGCACAAAGTGTTGGGCAGCAGCGCGTGGCGGCAGAAACTGATCCCAAATCAGTAGCTCGAGCCCAATCCCTCCAGAGATGAAACGCCTAACTGCAGGTCAATGTGGAGTCTGTGCAGTAGACATCCTGTCACAAGAGGATTTAAATTGAGATTTCCCAACATGGATCCATGTAGCGCTGATGATGACGAAGGTGTCCAATCAATGCGATATGAGCTTGTCCATATGGCTTTATGTTATCTAAAAAAACAACAAAGTCTCTTTGAGTTGCAAACTAAAAGTGGGCCAGTGTACCTTTTGTTTAGGTTATCTGTGGAGCCACTAAAGCTCACTCCATACTAAAGTGTTCCTGTATTCATAGCAGACAATAGTTTTCATATGAAATTCTAAGGACACATGCCCTCCTATATCATGCGCGCTGCACTCCACTAGATATACATCTTTATTCAGCAGCTTCAAGGGCATGTAGAGATCGTTTTAATGCAGGAAAGTGGAGATTTGTGTTTCCGTGCGCGCACAATGAGCTGATCTTAGTTTTGACCGGCTGACAGGAGGTTTTATTCTCCAAAGCAGAATGTGCCATTAGGCAAATGGGCCCAGACAAGTTGTCGTTAGGACCTGTCAGACGCTCGGGAGGCCGTCCTCTCACACAGCAGCGTTTTAGTCAGCGCTCAGGCAACTGAATCATTCCGACGTCTGAGATGAAACACATCTGTCTCCGCGGTAACGGAGTCTTTGAGCTCATATGTCATCATTTGTTAAAACATGAATCAGTTTGAGATTTTGGGGAGATTATTCATATTCTGTCAGCGTTTTTATAAAAAAACGAATAAATGCAGGACACAATGTTAAAATTTAAATATGCGGACACATTTAGAACAGGCTGTTCAAGAGATACCTTGTTCTTTGTTATCCTCCAGGTGTTTTTTTTTAATGTCTCGCTCAGACTGAAACTATAAAGCAGCAGGACGTGTTAGTCAGCTGGGAAACCGGGGGGGGGCAGAAGGGCTCGGTGAGCAGGTTCATATCAGTGTTTCTCACTTTAATTCAATTCCTTTTAATGTGCAACTCATTGCAGCTGCATGACAACAATGAAAAAAAACTTCTAATATTTCCAGACAACATTTTATGTTTCGTGCTTTCTTAAGAGTTGAAACCTCTTAAGGAAACATAACATAAAACGAGTTAATTATGGGTTTTAATAACATTATTGTAATTTCACAGTAAAGAGCAGCAGCTTTTTGAAGAAAGGCTTTTAAGAGCAGTTTAGATGTGTCACTCATCTGTCTCATGAAAAGACATTATAGTTCTGTAAACATATCGGACTCCTGAGACACCCATGATCATTATCTTTCCTTTGTTTACCGGGACAAGTGTAATCTCATTTACCGCAACGAGTAACCGAAATAAAATTGGTTGTCCATAACATTAACTAGACATTAAACAGCATGATGGATTGTCACAGGAAACAGAGAGACACTGATCCAGCTTTTGTTTATCTGCGAAGAAGGACGTGGATTAATATCACATGCACCGCTAAAACAGAAAGGAACAACATAATGTAAGAAGTGTTGTGCGGACTGGTCTGGATTGATTACTACTTCAATTCAGATCTGGAGCACGGCCCAGCTGCATTTGTCAGAGGTAATAAGAAAATGAACAAATAATTCACTTCAATGCCGATTCCCTTTTTCCCTTTATGCTTCCTACAAAGCTTTCTTGGCTGTTTTCGTCCATCGAATGTTTTATATTTGGAGAAGAAAGCTTGTGACGTCTACTATCCCTTCAGATCATCAGGATAAGTGTTATGCATTTGTGGGTTTTTGGGGTGAACAGTCCTCATGGGTGCCAGGATCTCTGCTCTGTAGTTGCCCCTGACCTTTGACCTCAAGAGAACGATTGATTGAATTTCAAAAATATAATGTCATTATTTCTATTGATTTTCAGGCGGAATGTGAGAATGAGGTCAACAATGAACTGGCTAATCGGATATCTCTGTTCTACGCCGATGCCACGCCCATGCTGAAAGCTTTAAGTGACGGCACAACAAAGTTTGTATCAGAGGTAAGAATGACGGTACCAAAAACTGTGAATACTTAACAGATATTCTGAAAGCATGCCGTCATTTATTTTTCCATCTCGTTACAGAATAAGAACCTGCCCATCGAGAACACGACAGACTGCCTAAGCACGATGGCCAGTGTGTGTAAAGTCATGTTGGAAACGCCGTGAGTGACTTCCTGTGTTAGTAAGACCCTCTTCAGTTCCTCTACTTCATAGGTTTCATTCGTCTGACCCCACCTCCGTGTCCTTTCAGGGAGTACCGCAGCCGGTTCGCCAGTGAGGAGACGGTGTCTTTCTGCCTCCGGGTGATGGTGGGGGTCATCATCCTGTACGACTACGTCCATCCTGTTGGAGCTTTCGCAAAGTCGTCCAAAATCGATGTGAGTAAAGCCATGTGTCGTGGTGGGATAAGGATTCAGATCTTTTACTGAAGTGATAAAAACCTGACATGAAAATACTCCACTGCAAGTCAAAGTCCTGCATTTAAGACACCACGTACAGTACACGTATATTTACCTTTTCTCAGCAAAATGTGCTTAAAGTATAAAAAGTAATACAATTCCCTGTCAATGTTTACCTATTATATATGATGCTTTGGATACATTTCACTATTGCATTAATATGTTTGTTGCCTTTTATACCATATTCTTTCCTTGATATAAACATTATGCATCATATTCGTACTCTAATCATCATAGTCCTGTTATACACCCCTGTTTTTTCTTAAGCTGATCTAAGAGGCTATTAAAATGTTTTTTTGTAACATATAGGATCATTTTCTCATCCCATAAAGGATGTGAAAAAGGATTTCCTTATGCCTTTAAAGTTCATCACAATAAATAAAATTGAAAATAGTATTAGAAGTTACTGCTGTCAGATACACAAAGTGGAGTTTAGTGGAGTATAAAAAGTGGCAATTAAAAAGATTTAAACGCTTTGAATTTGTACTCCACTGACCCACTTCACAGCGTGCTATATGAAGCTAACAGAGTGTTTCCTGTCCGCAGATGAAAGGCTGCATCAAAGTCCTCAAAGATCAGCCTCCGAACAGCGTGGAAGGCCTCCTCAACGCTCTCAGGTGAGCTACCGGTGGAACCTAATTGAGTTTTTCCCCCTACAGCCCAGCGTGAAATGGGATTGTAGCTCCAGTTGTTGGATTTCATTGTAAAAAAAAGAGAGGGCTGTGAGGTGAAAGATATCGGTGCCTGTTCATGAGCAGCGGATGCCTCCCCCCAGTGACTCACAGTCCAGCGGGGTCAGCTGTGAGCTCTGTGATCCGGGTTGGGTGTGGAAGCCTCTCCAGAATGCCCGATTGCCTCTGACACCTCGTCCCCCCTCACAGCCTCCCAAATGTTTTTTAGCCGCCCCGCCTAAAGCCCACAGCTGCTCCAGATGATGGGGCCGTTACCGTGGTGACCTCCCATCTGTACCGGGGCCCGAGGCTCTGCGGCACTTCCCGGTCACATGGAGTCAGACTTTGTTTTGGTAGTTTTATCTCTGATCTGACACAGGATGACAAACATATTGTAGTTGAATGGAATTGTGAAAGCAATTGGAAAGTATATTTATTCAAGCACTGTACATGAATATATATAAATCTAACTTTGAGGTACTTTTTCTTTCTACTTTACCCTTCTACTCCACTACATCTTATGGTAGGATATTGTATTTTTTACTCTTCAGGGTGGATACTACTTTTTTAGTTCTGGATTTAAACATTGTTTCATTTCATTTTTGGCTGGTTTAGAAAGAAAAGTGGCTATTTTTGGCCCCATTTTTATGTGTTGAGTCTGAGTGGTTAAAATGTACAACTAAAACAGATGTCCCTTTTCCCCGTTAATTTAAGTAACGCAATGTGCAAAAAGGTCTAAAGATCCAAACATATTAATAAATGTGGAAAGCATATGGTATTATTTTCTTACATCCTCTGCCATAAGACCTCATCAGATTTGTCTCGTAAACCTTTGGAGGTGTCCAACCCCTGGCTTTGGAACCCACTAACTAATCTTATTAACTATACAGAATAAGTTGAAAAACTAGCTTCTGGTGCTGCACCGATTCATCCAGAAATCTTTAAGTTGATCATTAGACTTTATTAGCAACTCCTTTGATAATTCAAATGTTGTACAGCCATTTTAAAGGAAAACTAGAAAATATTTGTTGGAAGCTTCCTCTCAGATGTGAAGACTCAAAGCTTTTCCTTCTCATCGATGAAAGTTAACCGAGAATCATTTTGGATGTTGACTGGTCCTTTTCTTTGAAGACGTCACATTGGGCTCTTGGGAATTATTACAGACCGTTTTCACTTTGATCTTGTGACATTTAATTGACAAAAGATAATAATTATTTTCATTACAGATTGCTTTTCTGATTATTTCCTCTATTAAATGTGTTAGTTGCAGCCTTATTAGCTCCACTTAGTAATGACAGTGAAATTCTGCTTCAACATTAACCTACAGTATCAGTATTACCAATTCAATAATGTGAAGCATATTTTCTGCCAAACGTGTGCTTTTGATGCTTAAACGTTTTATTTTCCTAAATGTCTTCACATTACTACATTTGTAACTTTCCTCTTGAAGGTCACCTATTTAGACCCTCCAGAAAAACGCGGGCAAAAATCCTTGATTATGCGATTAAACATGCGGGGTTTTTATGTGATTTTATGCGGTGAAATTGCGGGAAGTTGCCAAATATGCGGAAATATGCGGGGGAAAAGAATAACAATTTTTTAAAATATTGGGCTGTCTTATTTATTCTCTCTCACACACAACCTGCCACTAACGTTAAACCCCTTTACTATTCAATTAAACACATTCAATGTTTATTTATTGTAAAAGCAATTGGGCTATTTTAATCTCACACACACACTTCTTCGCCTCATTCTGTTTTCATTTACTCGTTCGTTATCTGACCAGCTTCAATCTTGTAGGCTACTCACTTCGTTTCTTGTAGCCCTTGAAAGGGTTTTGGATGTTGATGCTCACCGTCGATTTTCTCTTATGCTCCAACCAATATACAGTCTATGGCTCCAACACACAGTTGCACGGGGTGCAGAATAATTTCCCCCCACTTTTTGCCCGGTCTTTAGTAGAAATGTTCGTCGGTAAATGTGATGGATTAGATTTTTTTATCTTGGTGTTTTCTCTATCGTGTGAGCTCCACACGTTCACTCTATACAGTGTTGTTTACATTCTGTGATGCGCGAGCTGATGACGTCACGTCAAAACGAGTTAACTTTTTTTTTTCTCAACTTTGTGTGGAAAAATGCGGGGATTATGCGGCCTTTTGATAAATATGCGGCCTTTTAAAAAATCTGCGCCATTTTGCTGATTATGCGGTAAATTCTGCGATCGCAGAATCGCGTTTTTCTGGAGGGTCTACCTATTATGCAAAATCCACTTTTTCTTTTATACATACAAATGTGTCTCCTCTGTGTTAAGAGATCCATAACGTTTCAGGAACATGTATTATCCCTCTCTTTGTCCTGATCCATTGATATAAAAACCTGTCTGATAATGAGCTGATCAGATGTTGGCCACTTTGTGATGTCACAATGTTTTTCTGGGTTAACCAATAACCAACCAAGGTAACACCCGCCCACCTTATCACCTGAATCTCCTCCTAAAGCACCATTGTGTTTTAACCAATCATCTTGCAGAGGGGCGTGGCCAGTAGCAGCTCATTTACATTTAAAGCTACAGACACAGAATCAGCACTTTTAAAACAAGGCTGAAACAGAGGGGTTTATGGCATGCTACAATGCATGATCTGTTTGGTATTTTGAGCCAAACACTTCAAAGACATGTTTTGTATACATGTATATCTGAGACCTATAATATATTAATGAAAAAGGCTATTATAAGGGATATGATCTGTATACCACTGTGCGGGAAGAAGTGAACTGGTCACTGAGTCTTATTTTCTCCCCTGCAGGTACACAACCAAGCATCTGAATGATGAATCAACCAACAAGACTATCAAGAGCATGCTGCAGTAGACTTGGCTGCTCCTACTGCTTGCCTCACACCCTGCTGGGGGGAGACGCCACTCTCCTGACTGATGTCGGTGCACAGAATGTTTTTTTTCTTCTTTCTTTTGTTGCTTTTTTTTATTTTATAACGGAAAAAGAGCTACAGCTCCGCCCTCTTTTATAATGCAAAATGCTACTGCCATTATGAACGTCTTTTTCTGTGCCAAAAAGATGTAATGTTTTCGACAAAAGGCCATGTGACGATGGCAGCTAATGAAAGCATTGTGGATCCTCTGGTGTTTTAACCTTGTTTTTCCCAATATAAGGGACGGGAGTGCTTTGACTTGAAATTTTAAAAGAGAGAGATATATAGAGAAGTATATATTATTTTTGTTTGATTCGTTATTTAATATTACAACCTCTGCATGATGAAAATGATGTATTTTCCTTCTATTTAAAAGAAACTAATAGTTCAGTTAAATTTGTCTGCTCTATTGTGCATTATGTTCTTGAAATGGTACTTGTCTAAATGAGATTTAAGAGTACAGCTTTTATATTTTTTATAGGTTTTAATTTGTGCAAATGTCTTTTTTTCATAGTTGTGTTGTATTTTTCATTTCAAAACTTTAAACTGTGATGTGTGCAAATTTAAAATTGGGAGTCTGTACTGTAATTGGACAGTATGTTGTGGCTGGAGAAATAAAAGGAGAACTCTTGTTTTCTACTACCCACCTCGTCAGGTTTCATCTCTTATCTCATACCGTCGTCTCCGGATAGCTGAGAGGAAGTTTGGTCGCAAAGGTTTTACTTTTTTTCCCATGTGAACAGCGGTGAAATCCAGCTTCTCATGCTCAACCGCTAGACAGGCAGTGAGAAAGAACATTTTGATTAAATACACACAATGACACACACCGAGGCAGTTTATTTCCCCCCCCTGCCATGTTAACTGTCACTCATTTGAGCTGGGTACAGCCTGTTTTCCATCAATGTTCGGGTGAGCTTTTGCACCCAAGTGGCATGTTTACTCTAAGATTTCTGGGGGATGCAACTATGGCAGGTGGGTTGCTGAAATTGCTTGAAATGTGGTCTCAATTACATTTTAAAAAAATCCATATTTTTTTCCTTGAACATAACTCCTTTTCTAAATTATTTTTCAGCCTACTAAACCTTTGTTTTTCTCTTCAGTAGTGCTTAGGAGTGAGAGGG